CCGTAAATAACAGTTCATAAAACATTTGATTATTGCCTCAAGATACCAAGAGACGCTTCCCGTACAGAAGTAATCTAAGTAAGGAAATATTAAGAAAGTAATCAGGTGTCTACGAGTTTCTAATGGAAATAGGTGACAGAGGTAATATTGGAACGGCGGAATATATTGGATACATGTTTTTTTACAGGATAGTGTTTGATCAAAAGTTATTCCAAGGGTTTAAATGTTAGGATAAAATTTGATGGGATTAACATTTAGGTACAAGGATAGAATATTAGGAAAGGTTTTAAGAGGTGATTGGTGTCTATTATAATAGACTTCGTCTACTTAGCATTTACCTTCAGCTTTCTAAATTCTGCCCATTCACAGACTCTATTTAAGTCTTCTTGATTTTTTTTTAATTGCTGGTAATAGATAGGCGGGAAGAATATGTATACCTGGAAATCATCTGCATAGATATGGTATTGGTATTGATGTATTAAGAGGGATGAAAAATAATAGAGGTTTTTTACAATATTTTTAATAGATATTTGCAGAAAACTAAAAATTAATAGTGATACAAAGCAAATTTTATGTAAAAAAAAAAAGAGAGAAAAACTGTCATAGGGTTGACCGATTCCAAGTAATATAATTAGGTCTGTGATATAGAATTGTGAATTATGCATTGATTTAATAAATAATCTATGGATGCCAGAACTAAAATTAGTCTATGTTGGAGGGAGGAGGTGGTTGACCCAGAAAGGTAGAGGGCCAGGTAACCTTATCTGTTAGTAACCAGGTCTTAGTAACCACTCCCTGCCGGACTTCTCGTTTCTAACGAACCCAATATCTCCAACAATTCTTATTTTCTATACTGGAACATTAGCCAAAGACTTGTAGAAGGTACAAACTTACTAAGAGTTCAAAATATTTGAACTTATACTAAGACCCTCAAACTAGTCCATGGTCCCTCAGTAAGTACGACATGGCAACCTTTAGGTAATAGTCAGACCACAAGGCCGCCCACTTGCCAAACTAGTTATTCTCATCTACACCAGTGCCGGTAGTACACTGAAGCAGAGAAGACAATAAGGTGATGGTGTTTAATATTTACTTTATTTTTGTTTCAAAGTTAATTTTTCATTTTTTTATTTGTTTTATTTGGATTTCTCACTATGAATGCAAAACACAACTAACTACCCAACCAAAAAAAAAAGAAGAAATAAAGCTAGTTACTTAAAATGCAAAAAAAAAAAAAAAAAATTAAAAATGTATTTGTAAACTGTGATATTGAAAGCACCTTTGTGATTCCCAGGTCAATATATAAAATATCAATATCTAATAATATAACAATATCTAAAATTGGTCATAAATCTTAGTAAATACAAACCATTATTGGAGAGTTTTCAGTGGCTAGATTATTTACAAGCCTGTCCAGATCATTATACAAACTCACATTTATTTATGTTTTATTTAATACTGTTGTAAAATTCATTAAATATAGTTCTTAAAAACATATATATAAACCAAAAAGTTAGTGTATTGTCTGAGCGTGGGGTAACCGCTGTTTATTTTTATTTTCCATTATTTGAAATAGTCCTGCAGTTGTGAATAATGAATACTGGTGAGTTAGTGAAGCGTGAGCGATATCTACATGTCTATTGATAGTAGCTGTTTCCTCCTCCCTCACTTTTCCATGGCTATTTCTGGCCTTCACGAGGAAGGGAGAGAAGAATTGGGCAGGTTATTCTACATCACGGACTTATCAAAACTACAAACAAAGCTTCTTTGATTTCATGATGCATTTTAAAAATATTTTTAAAATATGATATTATGTAAATCGCTCAAACAAGATGTTACTACAAAATTTATTGCATGAGTTTTTCTCTTTGAATGTTATTTTCAAATCTGAAATGTCATTGCTCTGTATTATACAGAAGAGTTTTTAGTAACAGTGTGATATTTCATTTTACACAAAAGGTGGAATGCCCCCAGAACACCGCCGCCGTGCGGGTTTCCGGACTCTGCGCTCTAATCCCATCATCTAAATAAGATTTTTTCTAACTGTTCAGAGCGTGGACGTTTTCAACTATTTTCCTCTTTCTGACTTTCATAAGCTTTTTCGTTTGTATAATTTGTAAAATAGAGATTGGTCCGCGTTATGCAGACAGAGACTACTTTCCCCAAGTACAGAATATATTTTTACTTTACAACCTATACAAGGTAAGGAAAGTATTGCAATCGGGTCAAATTTCCGATATGCGATTTTCGACGGATCTATACGTTTCAGAGACTCCTGAGTCCGAAAAACACATGTTTAGCCATTTGTCTGTCTGTCTGTGCCAAGATTTTCTCGGGAACTACTGAACCGATTTTGTTGCTTCTCCTTTTATTTTGTGGTGTTTTGACTAATGATGCCTGTAACTGAAATTCGGTGCTCCATGCGCAATAGCTTGCGGGCAATAAATGAAAAACGTTTTTCTATAGACTGTAACGCGAAACCGGCTCTAATGATTTTCATGAAACTTTGCTATAATGTTCTAATCATCGTCATTATAATTTTCGTACATAGACTATATTAAGGAAAAAACTCCCGAAGTATATATTATACGATAAAATTTATAATGCAATTTTTGAAAGGTAATTAAATTCCATACAAAGCCATATAAAAACCGTTCATTTTGGACAACGAAGCTATTCAATTTCCAATGTAAGATTACGGGTTCATACCCTGGTGTCAGAAAGGGGTGAATGAGATAATAAAGATGATTAAGTGAAAGTGAGAAAATCTGTTGCCCGCATCACAAAATCTTCACTATTTCCTCTACTCTTAACAGAAATTATTGTTTGACAATACTAAGCTATTGCCGAATGGCGGTACGGTGTGCACAGCACCACCGTTGCCCGGCAACCTGATATTTCAATCAAATGATATAAAAATAGTCACGAGTTCGTGTCCCGTTACCGAGGGAGTCTTTTGAATCCCCGCCCACACACGCAGGCCCGGGGTTTCCCTGGCCTATAGCCTTAACGGCGAGGAAGGGGAGGACTCGAAAAAAATGCTAAGCTATGTCAAAAATTTTTTGATCACCAATATTACTGAGTAATGAAATTTTAATACTGATCTACCTTAAGCCGTTTTACATTGCTTTAGTTTATTAAATAAATCGTACTCAACTCTATTCTTTGATCAATTTTCAGGAAAATAAATCTAGTTCAATTCTTTTTTATTTATTCATCAACGTATGTAAAGATGTAAAAACTCTTCTGAAATAGGTAGGAAAGTCGTGTGAGTGGACACACCAGATTTTTTTTTTCAACACAGGCAATGTTGCACACGACGTAAAGTGATCAGTGATTCCTGTTCATCATGTATAACCAAACTTTCGTAGGTCCACCACTCCACTTGTCTTCTTAAGTTATTATAGTTATATGCCAAAGTGATATCATGTGTGTGTGTAAATGATGTATACAAAATATGACAATATAAAACTCTAAAAGTGTGAATAGATAAGAAGACTAGTTCTTGCTGGAGAAAGAAACACTTATCGTGTTGACTCCAAAAATATTATACTGCAAATATAAGAAAGAAAGCATTTGTTTGAATGAAGATACCTTTTTTGAAACTTTGTTGCATGCTTGAGCTACCGTTAGTAACATAGGCTACAGATATGCAATCCGTGCCATGTTAAGTGTTGTGAAAGAAATATAAATTGATGTTTAGATAGAGATTTTGCTGGTCAATCAGTATTATGCAAAAGTAGTAATTGATTAGTAAATGAAAATAAACTAATATTTTTATTACCGATTGTGTCCTAATACTGTTTGTTTTTAGTTAGATTAATAAAAGTTATTTTGATTAATAAAAGTGTTGAAAAAGCACTAAATACTAGGTTTGTCGTTTCTTTTTTATTATCTGTTATATATCTGTCATATATGTACATGTTTTATTAATTAACACTTATAGCCCAAACACTTGTTGCCCTGCACTGTATCTGCCACAGTACTATTATTCAATAAACGTGTTAAGAAAAAAATAATCGGTACTTATTAAAAAATACATTCTAACTACTAATTTTATGTTTACGACTATTAATTGAGTCTCTTATTTCAAAATTAAATCCTAACAGATCTTTTTTTTTTTTAGTTTAAATATTAAAATTTTAATTTCAAAGGTTGAAAGAAGTTCATTTCCGATCCGGCCTTTTTTATTTATTTATTTTTCTAAGTATGTATTGCAACTTTTATTTTTTAATTTTCTTTAAAAAAAAATCATAAAAAACTATTTTAACTGTTATAATTCCTCTGATCTCCATTCAAAACACATAAATCTTTCATCTTTTACTGTTATTATTAAAAGTAAATTAAAATAAATAATTGTTTTAAACCATTATTTTAACAAACAGTTTAATTTTTATAGTACAATTTTATTTTATTTTTTCTCTGAATCATACACAATTTCTCTCTCCAAACCGAACCCCAATCGACATTTTTCCGTTCAATAATGGTTCTGGAATTTAATTCTTAACAAAAACGGTTCTATAAAGTTTTTTATTGTAATTAAATGCTATTGAAATGATCTATGATTTTTTTAAAATATTTACTATACATAAAAAAAAAATTAATTTACGGTTTTGAAACTATTAGTGATAGCTGCAATTAGAATAGGAAATGCAGCTTTTCACGTTTCTTGAAAAATTTCAGATCATGGTTAGGGTTTATTTTGGAAATAAACAACTCAATTATATGAACCATTGCATGCACATTTGGTGTGTCACTTTCATATGAAATAATTAAGTAATTAAATTCATTATTAACTCTATCCTTTTAAATAGTTGTGAATGCTTAAGACTATTTGTAACAGAGAAATTAGGTTTTTATTCTTTACCAAAAAGTATTATGCTTCTTATACTTACATTACCTTATACAACTTTACCTAAAGTGTTGAATATCCCAAAGATATTGTTTTTGACTCACAAGTTTTTCGTTCAATAACTTATATTCCAATTATTTTTATATAGAATCCAGTTAGCCTTGAACACAACTAGTCTACAATTTTGGGCAAACCATTTCAGTAAGAATGTTGCTGCACGCGATGTTTCTACAGTTTTTGCCTCTTTTCACCAGTGCTGCGACGATTCTCGGCTTCTTTCCCTTTCCAGGAAGCAGCCACCATCACCTCTTCGGTCCTCTGATGGAACGGTTATCAATCCGCGGACACCAAGTCCTATACGTCACACCAATAAGATGGGAGTCAAATCAGTCCAATCATGTGGAGCTTATGGTCACCAACTATGGACCTCAAGTACTAGGTAACTAACAGTGACGTTTATTATCCATGTTGTTTTCATATTTATTTTGTTCGATTAATTTATACATATGACATTTGAAAAAGTTATAAAAAACATGATTAAGAACGATATTTTTTTCCAAATAAGATTTGGATATTTAAGCACAATATTCGTTCTGCTAGCCTTTTTATCTTTAATTTTTCATAACATAATTTTTAGCGAACATAATAGCACATATATATATATATATATATATATATATATATATATATATATATATATATATATATATATTATATATATATATATATATATATATATATATATATATATATATATATATAGTGGGGGAACTCAGTGGGTGAGCACTGACGTCTACAGCTCAAAATCCCAAGTTCAAGTCTGGCTTAATGACTAGTATTTTATCATCAGCCGTGGACCTATCCTGAGGTCACAAATCCCCTCTAAGGGCACATTCATTCAGTATAAAGTGGGTACTATTAATTGATATAATTTATTAAGGGGGAAAACGTGGCGATTAAGCGTGCTTCTGGCCAAATTATCTCTCCGCAAAATCATTAGCCCTGTCACAATAGTTCCTCACATAGTACTGAATCCAAAACCCTTCAAGGGCTGTAGTTGTACAGGTTGATATATATAAAGCCAGATGTTTATCTGTGGTAAATATTTCTTAAAGTAAAAACTACTAAATTAAATATATTAATTCTATCCCGTAGAAATAGTAACATATTTTTAATTTGATCAGCTATATGAGTTTGTACCGGATCATTAATGGATCTGCAAGTAGTTATCTTTTAGATCAGTTCGAGATATCTTCCGTTTCTAATTACTTTGGTTAAAGGTCAAAAGTCATTTTCCAAAGGATCAATATACTGATCTTCATGGGCCTTCTCTTTTCTCTCCTTAATTCTGCTCTGCTTTGACACTATTACAAGTCAAGACTGGTTCAGAAAATATACTTCAGAACGCTGGTTTTCAAAATTTTCATTCTTTTTAAATAGCATAGAAAATCCTTGAAAGTCAAAATAATTTTCATTTTTTTTTTTTTTTTTTGGTTGGTAAATAAGTCCATTCTGATTTTCCGTCTATTTGTATGCCACTACCGTACACTTCTTATCGGAAAAATGAATCCTTAAGGAAGATTGATTATTTTATTCGTAATAGGTCAAAATCTATTTTTTTTTTTTAACTCTTGTTAAAATAACATTAATAATCTTTTTGTTATTTCATTGTGACTATAAGATAATATAATTCATTATCAGCATAGTTTGCTGTATTATTTTAAAGAAAGTAACTGTGATACAAATAGTCATACAAAAATTCAAGTGCTTATAGGGATAAAATCTGTGTCAAAATTGGTAAGCCAAATTTTGAAATCAATGACGCGCCATGTTCCATGGACGTCCAAGAAAAACTGAAACAAGAAATTTTAAAGCCATTGATGATTAAAATCTCTCCCGATCAGTGAGAGATTTTTATGGTCCTAGATGTGTCGCATACAAACGTAGAAAACCATTTGGATAAATCCTGCTACGTTTCCAAGCTTGGTGTTTTGGCCTAGCACTCTCTAACCGAAAACAATTTTGCAATGCGCGTTTCTTGAGACCTTTTGTGACCGATTACCACTTATTCAGTCCTCAACAGAACCCGATTAATCTAAATAAATTTTAAAAATAACAGGAAATCAAACACCCCTTAACCATTCTTTAGAACAAACTCCAGATGTCCTATGGACATGACATAATGCAGTCAGCGATAAGATGTACAGAGACCATACAAAATGGTAAATACATTGTAGATTACAATTAATTTTTTGTTTAAAATACGACCATTTTATATTACTCTAAAATATAACTGAAAAAAATTAAAGTTCTTGTTTCGCCAACCAAATATTTTGAGTGATCAGAGTTTTTTACTTTTCTACCTATACTAGGTAAGGAAAGTATTGCAATCGGGTCAAATTTCCGACATGCGGTTTTCGACGGATCTATACGTTTCAGAGCCTCCTGAGTCCGAAAAACACATGTTTAGCCATTTGTCTGTCTGTCTGTGCCAAGATTTTCTCGAGAACTACTGAACCGATTCTGTTGCTTTTTTTTTATTTTGTAGGGTTTTGACTACTGATGCCAGTGACAGAAATTCGGTGCTCCATGCACAATAGCTTGCGCGTAATAAATGAAAAACAAGTTTTCTATAGACTGTAGCGCAAAAACGGCTCAAACGATTTTGATGAAACTTTCCTATAATGTTCTAATCATTGGTCTTTCAATTTTCGTATATAGACTAAATTCCCGAAAAAATCAGGAAAAAAAATTATAAAGAAAAGAAAAATTGTATGGGCCCTAACTCCCTAGGTATATATTAAGCCATTACTTGTCGTTTAAAAGGTAATGAAATTCCCTAAAAAGCCATATAAAAATCGTTTATTTTGGACAACTATTAACGAAGTTACAGCTACTTAATTTCCAATGTACGATTACGATTTCATATCCTGGTGTCAGAAAGGGATGAATGAGAGAAAAGATGAGTAAGTGAAAGTAAGAAAATCTGTTGCCCGCATCACAAAATCTTCACCATTTCCTCTACTTTTAACAGAAATTATTGTTTGACAATACTAAGCTATGGCAAAAGGTTTTTGATCAGCAAAAGTATTGAATTTTTACACTGATCTACCTTAAGCCGGCTTACATTTCTTTAGTTTATCAAATAAACCGTACTTGAATCTTATGTTTGATCAATTTTCAGGAAAATGTATCTATTTCAATTCTTTTTTGTTTCTTCATGAACATATGTAAAGATATAAAAACTTTTCTGAGATAGGTACGATAGTCGTGTGAGTGGACACACCAGATATTTTATCATTTAGATCATTTTTGAAAACAGTCAACTCTCCGAGTTTATTGCCATACGACTTAGCATCCAAACCTATTAATATTACAATATTGTGTTCCAAGTAATGACCATATACAGTTCAGGGAGAGAAAAAAAAAAAGATTTGTCTGGAAAATGATATTGGTATTTGCAATTATTCAATATGTCATATTGGGCCAATATGAAGAAAAAAGTATCTGATATCCGAACCCATATTCAGACTTTTTTTTTTCCATTTATCCACTCATACTCTCGTACCGGTAATAAATGTGAGGTTTGGTTTTTTTTGTTTCTCCTTAATTAATATTTATAAGTATAGATTGATTAGAGCTGTATTATTAGGTTTAACCGTGATTAAGAAAAAATAAAATTACTCAATAATTCAAATGACTTGAAAATGGAAAATGAGAATAATAATTGTGATTATAAATATACTCTCATCAGTTACGGTTTACTTATACCTTTTATTATTTGTATTAGAATTATGTTTCGAGAAAATGTGTTAATAACAATTCTTAAAATATGTCAACAGGAACCCTGGACTTCATAGAACTTGGTGAGATGAATATTCCCATGCATTCGCAGACTGTGTACAATCATATTTTCGATCTATTGGAACAAGTTCTTCAAGAAAAGGCCATTCAAGATTTAATTCATTCCAATGGTTCATTTGACGCAATTATCATGGAATCGTATTTTTTCCAGGAAGCCAATTCAGCTCTCATTCATAAGTTTAACGCTGTTGGTATTGAATTGGTACCACTTGCTGATTCGGCCTGGGTAAACGAACTATCCGGTCTACCGAACAGTTGTTCATTCATGATGGATTACAAAACTTTGCTGACCGATAGGATGGCTATCACTGACAAACTGTACAATCTCTATGCTGCTTACGCTGCTACGCTCACTAGTTACTACAACTTGAGAAGAATGCAGGTACTGATGGATCGATATTACAATTACACCGGATGGGAAGAAAGGCCTCCTTTATCAAAGCTGATATCCAACAGAAGTATCATCCTTGTCAACAAAGATCCTCTCCTTGCTTACCCGTTCCCAACGGCTCCTCATGTAAAAGAAATAGCTGGCATCCATATACTCCCAACAAAGCCGATTGCAGAGGTAAGCCTAGGTAAGCATTAATAATGCCATTATATTTTCATTAAAAAAAATCTCACTTTATTTTTTACTGTACAATCTCAGTTTAGTTCTCTCCTCAACTCCATAGGTCATCACTTCATGCTAGGTACAGATTTAAATGCCAATCATCAAGAATAGGATTCATGAACTACGAGTTCTCGTGGTTTGACATTGTTGTACGCACTCAATTCTCAACATTTCAGCTTCCTCCACCCAACTCATCTACCTACTGGCCCACTGATCCTAACCGCAATCCTTTATTTTTTTCATCCACTGTGGTTTAGGTCCCCTTAATCATGTTCTTACCCGTCTGGACGAACTTTCCTCAGATTCATAGTCTATTAATACTTCAATTGCCAATCACTTCTATTCCTAAACCCCTCCAATGTCCTTCATCAGAATCCCCGTTAACTGGAAACTTTTTGACGAAATCCTTTCCTAAAAAAATTAGCTTCACAATAACCCTGAAACCCCAGTAGACCTTGATAATGCCGTACGTTTCTTTACCATCACTATTCAATAAGCAATCTGGACTGTTTCCACTACAAATTTCTCCAAAAAAATTCCTAAGAAAAATAATTTACCTCAACAGCTGATAGACCTAATTCCTTCTTTGTCAACGTTCAAGACAACCCACCGATTGCCGCTCTTATAATTATTATAGTAAACGATTAAAGCAGGAATTGGCCGCATACAAATCCCAATCCTTCAACTCCTACCTACCCTCTCTGTTCTTGATAATTCCGTATGGAAGATAATCCGAACAAAATCTTAAAATACCATCATATTTCCCATTCCCTCCGTTGATGCTATGATTCCTGGGCAGCGTCTGATGAACGGAGGGAGTTCGCCAGACACCTCTCCAGAACATTCACCTCTCATCCGGAATCCAACCCCACTCAAACCAAAACAGTTGGAGAATTCCTTACAACGCCCATTCCAATTTCTTTACCCTCTAGCAGTTAATCGTTCTGAAGTCAAACATCACCTACAAAAACTTCCTCTCCGCAAATCTCTTGGATACGACATCGTTACCTATCAAATCTTCCGTAAACTTCCTTCTAAAGCTGTTATATTTCTCACTTACTTATGCAATACCATCCTAACAACCACCCACTTTCCTTTTTTGTGGAAACATTTTACTATTGTTCTATTTCTAAAACCAGATAAACCTTCCAACACCTCGATGTCTATCACACAATTTCCCAATTCTCCACAGTCCAACAAGAGCTCCAAGTGATCGATCATATTTCCGCTGCACTAGAAAACAAGCAATATTTCTCGGGTGCATTTCTGGACATAGCTCAAGCTTTTAACCGACTATGGTCCACGGCTTCTTTTCAAGCTGAAAACCCATCTATTCTAGTCCTTGTTACTAATCCTCCACTCGTACCTCTCTGATCGCACCTTTCGAGTTCGCTGTGATACAGAATTTTCCAATTCCTATCCAGTAGAAACTGGTGTTACTCAAGGTAGTGTCTTGGGCCTCGTCCTTTATATCCTTCATACCGCTGATATCCCTGTCCATCCCGATACCTTTCTGACAATATTTGTTGATGACACCACCATCCTATCCTCCAACTCAGATCCCAAAACAGCATCCTTAAATCTGCAAATACACCTCTCCCTGTTGTAATAAATGGCGCTTCAAAGTAAACGAATCCAAATGCAAACACACCACCTTCACGATCCGGTGCAGATCCTGTTCACCAGTCCACTTTAATTCCATCCAGCTTCCTTTTTCGGACACAGTCCGGTATCTTGGCTTTCGCTCAGATCGAAGAATAACGTGAACCTATCACTAGACTTAAAAGACTAGAATTTAACAGTCGATACGATCAATTATACAGACTACTGACTAGAAAATCTCAACTTTCCATTAACAAAAGATTACGGATCTATAAAACAATCCTGAGACCTATTTGGACCTACGGACTTGAACTCTGGGTGACAGCAAAATTTTCTAACATAAAACGCATCTAATCCTTTCAGTTCAAAACCCTCCGAACAATAGTCGATGCTAAGTTCTATGTAACCAACAAACCCCTGCATCATGGCCTTAATATCTCGCTCAATCTCCACTAGCTTTAGCACCAGTGACGCGGTTGAGAGAGTAGCGCAAGGATCTCTTGGAGTTCTATATCTTTTCCTTCTATAGTTAAAGTTACGAGCTTGGCTTGGGTTCCCTGCCGGATCGTATTTTTTTTTAATGACTGTACTTTTAAGTTTTTGATTTACTTATCTTTCGGTTATTTATCTTTTATTGTACATAGTTTTTTTTTATTATTTTTATGTTTTCCGTATTATGGTGTGAATGTGTTCATATCTCACTACAATTATTGGTCACGTGACAGATTATTATATTTTTAAATAAATACATGCCCGATATCCACTGTCCATCTTAACCTCCTTGCTGTCATATCATAAGACATTGATCAAACGATTTCTGTAAGCAGTACTTTATTGGTCCTTTTTCCCTGTGCGTTGATCCGATCCCAGATCCCTGGCTTTTCATCGCATTGTACACCCTTATTTTGAAATTTTATTATTTTTTCTGAGATTTCAATATCTTTAAAGAGAGAAGAAATATCTTCTTGCGTAAGCGTTGAGCTGGTTGGTCTATATCCACCGTTCGTCATTCACTGAGATTATTAAAGAAATAATTTAGTTTATATTCTCTCAGGAATGATTTCTCTTCCAGCCAGATCCTGCTAATGTGATAAAAATGTTTAGCTTATTATAATATAATAAGTTTTACTTTCATTTAAGTGCCGGACGATTTGCTGTCCGTTTACCAGTCCTTCTCAATATCCTCTTGGATGCTCTCCAGGACAGTTATATTATCTGCATATCCAAGCATTTTATTATTCATTCCAAAGTGCACCCCTCCACGTTCTATTTGTGACCTGCTTTTTCTATAATATAAATTTTTATAGCTATACCATAAAATCTAATAGTAATAAAACTAAAATATTAAAAATGGGCGTTCTTTATTGTTTTAAATAATATGTAATACAAGAAAAGATAATATTAAAATATTAATGAAGTGTCTGCATTGTTAACTACCGCTGCTTTTCTATTATTTATCACGGAAGATGCTTAATAAAAACAATACACAAATACTATTTAAAACCGTTATGTTTGCAGACATTTAACAGTATTTTTTTTTATTCAATAATATAATCTTAGGCACTGCCTTAAAAAAAAATAAAAATATTTGATGGCCTCACGTAATGATTTCGTAACTGACTTTGTAATTGTAACTAATTAATTTTAATTTCTTTGAAACTAGTAAAAATCCTCAAAAAAAGTTTAACATAAATTTCCGCCAAAGAAATTTTCCATTTCAAATTGTGAAAAAAAGTAAGCTATCACATACAAGGTTACCAAGTGAGGCCATCGATATATATTTGATTTTTAAAATGTTTTATAACAGATAAAATTCTCTTACCTACCAATATAAAAAAGCTGCTATAATTATACCTGCAACAAAAGAAAAAGAAGAGTGTTAACTCAGTAATTTGAAAACCTGCCCAGCATTCAAATATTTTAATTAAATACGTCACATAAAATCACTTACAAGATATCATCTAATCGAAATAACAAAAACTATTAACAATTAGATGTATCGAATATACATGACGGCGGATTTCAATAACACTTCAATCATACTTCAATCACACTTCAATCACACAACATAGGTCAAGTTGACTCTTATTAAATCCCTAAACATTTATAAATCACACGGTCCTGATAAAATACCTCTCTAAAAAAGTAATATTGCACATCACAAAACTTTTCAATAGTTTTATGATGCTTAAACATTTCCATATAAACTGAAAATTGCTAAACTTATTCCACTAGCCAAACCTAAACCAAAACAAGATCGTGAATTACCAGCTACCTATAGACATATTAGTCTTCTTTATTCATTATCAAAAATATCCAAAACGATCATAAAATACCGCCTAAATCAATATATCAATTAACAATTCATTAATAAAGGAAAAATTTGGATTCCGAAAATATCACACTGATGCTATCCAACTAGTTCGCTTCATCGAAATTATAACCGAAAATTTCAATAGGAAAAAAACTGATGTGTCCACTCACACTACTTTTCTACCTACTTTAGACAAGTTTTTATATCTTTACATATGTCCATAAAGGAACAAAAAAAAAAAATTGAATTAGATTTATTTTTCTGAAAATGGATCAAAGAAAAGATTTTAGTACGATTTATTTGATAAATTAAACCAATGTAAACTGGCTTAAGGTAGCCAGTTTAAAATTTTCAATACCCTCTAATATTGCTGATCAAAAACTTTTTGCCATAGCCTAATTTCGTCAAACAATAATTTCTGTTAAAAGTAGAGGAAATAGTGAAGCTTGTGTAATGCGGGCTACAGATTTTCTTACTTTTACCTAGTTATCTTTTTTCTTACAGGATATGAACTCGTAATCTTACATAGACAGACAGACCAATGGATAAAATGTGTTTTTCGTATTCAGAGGGCTCTGAAACGTATAGATCCGTCGAAAACCGCATATCGGAAATTTGACCCGATCGCAATACTTTCCTTTCCTAGTATAGGTAAGAAAGTAAAAAAAATCATACAGATATGATTCTCATCGACATTGAAAATCGTTGAAGAATGTAACAACTAATTTATTAATTTTTAAACTAATAAACCTCAACATCACTATATTCAAAATCTGATATTACAGATAAAGTCATTTTTATCTAATTGATCTTTCTTCTTCTCATTCAATAATATTGCCTCTTCAATTTAGAATTCTATTACTGGCATCCCTCAAGAATCTTGTCTTAGTTCATTATTATTTAATTTATTTATTAATATCTAAAATAAGCAATGTTAACTATTTGTCGATGAAACAGCTTTATACTCATCTTCATACCTTATAGATAACATGATCAATAGACTAACTGATTCCTTCAATAAAACATCTAAATATCTTAA